CTGCAGTTGCACGTCCAGAAAAGGTCGTGGCTCTTATTGGTGTCGCTACAGCTGCAGATGGCTTAGTGACACAGTTTAATCAGCTCTCTGTTGAGGTAAAGTCACAGGTTGCTTGGCAATCTCAGTATATATACCTTCTATCTTTTTTCTGCTCCCTCTTTCTCTGACTATTTCTCCATTTTTTGTCTTAGCTGCCCTTTTGTACACAATATCTTTCCCACCTTTAACTGTTTGATTTCTTTTCCTTTGAAATCACACTTTGAAATTTCCTTTTTTAGCATTTTTTTAATTCACATTTACTTATTTGGATAATACATTGTGATCTCTTTTTGTACCTCTTATTCTTACTTTCTGCCATATGGCGGATGTTACTCTGTTCTTCTGACCATGTTAAACTAGGCTAATCAATTGTGCAACTACAGTTGTTCCTCAATATTTGCAAGGGGGACCTGTTCCAGGACCTCCTTCAGATACCAAAATCCTCTGATGCTCAAGTCCCTCAGATAATGGCTTAGTATTTGAGTAGAACCTTCTCTATAATTTAAATCATCTCTAGATTACTTATAATACTTAATTCGATATCAGTGCTATGTAAATAATTGTTAACTGTATTGTTTGGGGAGTAATGAAAAGGAACAGATTCTGTACGTGGTCAGTTTTTTCCCTCAAATATTTTTGGTCCATGGTTCATTGAATTTACAGATGTGAAACCCACAGATATGAAGGCCTGACCATATTTTTTTGCCTGAAAGTAGCCTCAGATCCTCTCAGCAGTGCTTTCTAGGCAGACATTATCAGTCAGTCAGAGTTCACACACAGATGGAGTTTGCCATTCCTGGCTTACATACTTAGTTGCCCTTCTTTTTCTACTCCTAATTCTCACCTTTTTTTTTTTTTTTTTTAAGAAAATGCTTTTTGTTATTAGCATATTTTTCAGCAAATTGTGGTAGAAATGAGGTTTCTAAAGTAACTTAGAAGATAATTAGTTTATTAAACATATAAGCACCTTAGTATTCTACAAGGATAAATGAATAATAATAGCTATTTATTTTTGTGTGTTTTATGTGTTTTGCAGTTTATTGAGGTCTCTTTGGGCTTTTTTCCCTTAGAAGCCTAAATTTCACCTATGAGGCTAAGATCCTGGCAGATCTCAGACACAGAAATTAAGAAAAGAAAAACAGTCTAGAATAGTGGTTCACAAAATATGGTTCCTAGGCCAGCAGCATCAGCACCACTTAGACAGTGGTTCTCAACCTGTGGGTCGTGACCCCCTTGGGAGTCGAACAACCCTTTCACAGGGGTCTCCTAAGACCATTCTGCATATCAGATATTTACATTATGATTCATAACATTATAGAAAAATTACAGTTACGAAGTAGCAACAAAAATAATTTTATGGTTCCACAACATGAGGAACTGTATTAAAGGGGCACAGCATTAGGAAGGTTGAGCTTGCTGGAAATGGAAACAATGAACTTTACCCTTAGTTAGAAACTGGGGCTACAGCCCAGCAATCTGTGTTTGAATAAACTCCCTATAAAGTTTGAGAACCACTGCTCTAGAGAATGGAAGAATGCTCTAGAAAAAAAGAATGAGGAGGAAGCAAAAACTAATTTAAAAAGAAAAATAACCCCCTACATGCATCAATGTACAAAGTTATGATTTAATAAAAAAAAAGTTTAAAAAAAGGAAAACTGTAAATAATGTTGAATAGTGGAATGGCATTGACTTTTGCCTCAAGTTATGCATTAACACCTATTCCATATATCGTCTGTTTTAAGCATTATTAGTTCATGTTATTCTCATCTCTACAAGAAATAGCATTGTCTGGGTAGTCAGATTCCTCATTATGTCAGGAATGAGATTACAAAGCTGGTTCTATTTCTGAATTTTTTCACTTTCTTGGTCATTTCTCATACTTTATTGCTCGATGCAATTATGCCGTTGGTTGTTTGTTTGTTTGGGGTTTTTTTTTTTTGCAGTTTTTGGCTGGGGCTGGGCTTGAACTCTTCACCTTCAGCATATGGGGCCAGTGATCTACTCCTTTGAGCCACAGGCGCTGCCCCTCTAGATGCCTTTTTGTGCATCAAAATTCGGACCCCTTGTTTCATCCTTTTAACTCAATAATACAGTATTGCTCAAGGTAGGAAATTACCTGAAGGACATGGCAATTTAAAAGGGAGTTGGTTTTTTGGTTTTGGTTTTTTGATTATAATTTTTGGCTTCTAGTAAATGACAAAATCTAGGTTTGCTTATTTTTTCATGTGTATATTCACATCACTCAGAGTGAGGATAAGGTAGATACTCCCTAAGTAACTGAGAAGATTTATAGACTGCAAATCAGGGCATATTTTTGCTAATCCTTAATCAGATAAGCAGTTGTTAACAGAAATATGTTAAGCCATTGCCAATTTAAAACCGAGTATAAGGAAAGAACAGGACCACTATCTCTTCTTCATACAAACAGCTAGCCTTAACACTGGCAAGGGAGAAGTGGAGATTTTTACTTAGGAATGTTAAACTCAGCATTCCTAATTGTCTAGGAACTTGACCTCTTTTTTTAACTCATTATTATCTCCTGTGAACACTAGAGGGCCTAATGGTGCACAGCTAATTTGGAATCTAAGCTGAACCACATTACTTTGGTGCCGGTTCTTCTTGGTGTAGAATGGTATACACCGCACATTTTGAGTAATGCTGTTTTTTCTATTTCTGAACTTTTTGAAGTTAGAGGCATAGAATGTTTTATAAATCTAACTTGGTTCTTCAGTTCAGTGACAGGTAACAGGGCTAGTTAATGCCAGAGATGCTTAAAATGAACTATTACTAATTCAGTGTCTCAGTGATTAGCATAATAGAGCAATACTGGAAGGAAATAAAACCAGAATGTTAATGGTTGTTACACCCATGAGGTGGTAATATGGATAATTTATTTATTTTTATGCTTTTTTTATTATGTTTTTATAATGAGTATATGTTATTTATTATAAAACATTCTAATTTTTAATTAGAAAAATTAAGACAAGGCCGGGCTCAGTGGCTGATGCCTGTAATCCCAGCACTATGGGAGGCTGAGGCGGGTGGATTGCTTGAACTCACAGATTCAAGACCAGCCTGGGCCAGAGTGAGACCCCCATCTCTAAAACTAGCCGGGTATTGTGGCTGGTACCTGTAGTCCAAGCTGCTAGGGAGGCTGAGGCAAGAGAATCGCTAGAGCCCAAAAGTTAGAGGTTGCTATGAATTAGGATACAACAGTACTCTACAGAGGGTGACAAAGTGAGACTCTTGTCTCAAAAAAAAAAATAAATAAAAGTAAAGAAATATTAAGACAAATTATAACTAAAAATATAGGAATTCTCAGTAAGAGTATATATAATGTTTTATTTTAAGGGAATAAATGTAGAAATGATATTATTTTTCAGTTTGTAGGAAGTATGTGGAAGATTTGTCAACCAAAATAAAAAAAAAAAAACAGATCTTTTTCTCATTCCTGCAACTCTGGAAGGAAAAACTCTACATTTTTTTATATTCAGCCTAAAATTGCTTGAGCATGTATGTGATTGCCCCAGAGTAATCACTCTTATTTTTAATTTTTAGTTCTAAGCGCGATTCTATCCCTTTCTCCCTTATCTCATACTCATTTTAGCCAGTTCTCTTATGTATACTTTTAGTTTTATGATTTAGAAATCTGAACAATTTTTATTCTAAAAGTTGGTTTTATATAAATATGAATGATGCCTGGATTTGATTCTAAGAAATTATTATACTTTTTTCTCCCTTCATTGTCTTTTTCAGTTGGTGAAGCAACATTTGATTTAAGATGAGGTGTGAAAAAGTTAGATAAATTAAGTTTGAATGCTAGCCATAACAGTTTCTTGCCCTAAATTTCCAAACATGATACTTATTTCTCTTTTATAAAAATGGAATAATAACACATAATTAATATAACAGGATTATTGGGTCTTATGGGATAATATGTACACAGTACTGTCACAGTACCTCACATGTATTTAATTATTGTTAATTATTATCATCCTTACATTTTATCCTCTTACTCAAGGACTGCTTTCCTTAGATTATTTGAGGTTATTACATGTGTTAATGTTGGCGTAAAATCCTAAATACTTTTCCTAATTTTTTTCAATAGCTAAAAAAGGAAATAGAGATGAAAGGCGTGTGGGCTATGCCATCAAAATACCATGAAGATGGAGTTTATAACATTCAGTACAGTTTCCTTAAAGAAGCTGAACACCACTGCTTGTTACATAGCCCGATTCCTGTGAACTGCCCTATAAGATTGCTCCATGGCATGAAGGATGACATCGTGCCTTGGCATACATCCATGCAGGTTGCTGACCGGGTGATCAGCAAAGATGTAGATGTCATCCTCCGAAAACAAGGTGATCACCAAATGAAAGAAAAAGCGGACATTCAACTTATTGTTTATACTATTGATGACTTAATTGATAAGCTTTCAACTAGTTAACTGGTATCACATTTTTACTTGGTACATAAACTAATGTGTCCAGAAGATTAGAAGAGGGATGACAGATGAAAGACCCTAATAATTTAGGTTTTTCCCTTTTCTATTTTGTAAATATGAGTATGTATTTAATGATGTATTTACACAAGTAATATAAATCGTAATGACAGTACCAGCTGTTGTTTGAAAATTTTCTCCTTCCCTCAATCCTTGATTTTTTTTCATTAAAATATTTACTATTTTTTTATTCAAAAGTTATTTACCTTTCTTATGCTTATGTTAGCTGTACCAGCTCTTAATAGCATTCTCTTCTACTTAGAATTATTAATAAAACTTGAATTTTTGTTATAGATGGAAATTTATAAAATTACTTGTGATTTTGAAGTGCAGGAAAATATTTATAGAAATATTGAAATGATTGGAGAAATGTCTAAAGCATAATAAAGTTCAAAAACTAAGGATATTACTTTATATACTGCTTGTTACATTCACCTTAAGGTTTTACTTTTTTAAAGGCTCAAAACTTTTTTTTTTTGGAGACAGAGTCATTATGTCACCCGCAGTTGAGTGCCTTAACGTCACAGCTCACAGCAACCTCCAACTCTTGGGCTCAAGCGATTGTCTTGCCTCCACCTCCCAAGTAGCCAGGACTACAGGCGCCTGCCACAATGCCCGGATATTTTTTTTTGCAGTTGTCATTGTTGTTTAGCTGGCCCAGGCGGGTTCAAACCCGCCAGCCTCGGTGCATGTGGCCAGTGCCTTAACCACTGTGCTGCTGGCACTGAAAGGCTCAAAACCTTTTACAGTAATAGATTTTTGGCATATATGTCACATATTTAAATGGGGAATTACATCTTAATGAAATAGCATTTTTATATTCTTATTAGTGAAACTAAAGAGGAAATTAATCTTTATATATTACTGTCTACATGGAGAAACTTTTTAAAATTGATACCTCCCTAAGTACACAAATCAAGTGGTTGCCACCTAAATCAGAGGACTTTTTTTTTTTTTTGCACAGTTTTTGGCCCGGGCTGGATTTGAAAACCCATAACCTCCAGCATATGGGGCCGGTGCCCTACTCCTTTGAGCCACAGGCACCACCTTCAGAGGACTTTCTGAAGTGTAGTAAGAAAATATTAAATCCAAGTTTAAGGGTTTTTTTTTTTTTTAACTAAAATGAGCTTGTGCAATACTCAGCCTTAATAATATTGAGATGAGTTTTTTTAGGTATTAATTTTGGCTGGACTTTAACCTGCTTAGGTCATGTCTGTCCAAGTAGAATTTTTGTTGACAACATATGACATACAATATATATGTATATAAAGTGAGCATGTGTCATTAATGAGGAAACCAGCAGATAGTAAACCTGGTTCAAAGGACAGTTCAAGAAACAGTATTTGGGCTCCAATCCTGTGGCTCAAGTGGCTAAGGCACCAGCCACATACACCTGAGTTGTTGGGTTCGAATCGAGCCCACACCCACCAAACAACAGTGATGGCTGCAACCAAAAATAACGGGGCATTGTGGCAGGTGCCTGTAGTCCCAGCTACTTGGGAGGCAGAGGCAGGAAAATCACTTGAGCCCAGGAGTTGGAGGTTGCTGTGAGCTGTGATGCCTCGCCACTCTACCCCGGGTGACAGCTTGAGGCTCTGTCTCAAACAAAACAAAACAAAAAACAGTATTTGTAAGTATTGAAGAAAAAATGTTGGGGTGAAATTGCGGAAAAAGTATAGTGGGTCTGGCTACTTAGACCTGCTTTAGAAGGTTGGCCATTGGCTGGAGGGTTGCCACTATTCTAAGAATTGATAAAAATTAGCTCATAAGGGCAGCGCCCATGGCTCAGTGAGTAGGGCACCAGCCCCATATACCAAGGGTGGGGAAGTTCAAACCTGGCCCAGCCAAACTGCAACAACAACAAAAAAACACCTGAACGTGGGGCGGCGCCTATGGCTCAAAGGGCAGGGCGCCGGCCCCTTATGCTGGAGGTGGTGGGTTCAAACTCAGCCCCAGCCAAAAAAAAAAAAATTAACTCATAAGTCTAAACTATTCAAACAGTATGGTTTGTGCCAGACACCTGCTTTCCTTTCCTTTTTGGAGTCTGGAATTTTGTTATGTGCCAGGCAGACTACTTATGTGACCAGCTCCCAGAAAAACTAGGCACTTGGTCTCTCTAACAAGCTTCTCTGGGTGCTGAGGCAACATTTCATGTGTGCTGTTACTCATTGCTGGGATAATTAGGCCCATCCTGTGGGTCCCTCCGCTGGGGGAGGATGTTTGGAAGCTTAGCTTTAGTGAGCTTCACCCCATATGCCTTTCTCCTTTGCTAATTTTGCTTTGTGTTCTTTTATTATACTAAATCATAGCCTACATACCAACTCCCACAAACTCCTCCCAGCTTATCTTCCCACCTGAGGATGGTGTTGGAAGCCCCTGAGAAAGATACAAACTGCTAACTGTCCTATTGCAATTAAAGTACAATCCTTGAGTTCCTCTTTATACTGGGCAAAGATCACTCACAAATCAAAATGATTGTCTGTGCCATAGTGCCTGGTGCTGCAGTGGGTTGGTAGAAGATGACACAGCTATTCAAGACCTGTTTTGCCCAGACATCACTAGACATGAGGCTTGTTAGGAAGATGAAGAGGAATGGCCCCTACCTATGAGAGTTTTCTGAGGTTAAATATAAAAATAACAAATGTGATGAGAAATTCATTAAGGTGGTGTAGTATAGCAGTTAAGGGCAGAAACTGGAATGTGGGTTTGAGTCCTGGCTCATCATTTACTAACTTGCTCTGTGACTTGGAGCAATTTAATTTTCTTGAGCCTCAGTTTCCTCATTTGTACAATGATAAACCCAGATAATAGGTATAAGGATTAAATAAGCACATTTAGAACAATGACATAGGTGGTACTACCTTTTTGCTCTTTAAAAAATTATATACACAGAGCATTGTCCAGCGAGAGAGATTGATGGACACAATCCCTGGCAGAATAGCAATGAAAGTAGCAGCTAGGAAGTGGGTAGGGCTTCTCAGGCCAAATTGGATTTTACTTTACCCTCAAGATTCCAAATAGGAATGTTGTGTGGTGGTGTTTCAAATGTTCGACAGTTAAAACAAAGGGCAGCGCCTGTGGCCCAAAGGAGTAGGGCGCCACCCCTGTATACTGGAGGTGGAGGGTTCAAATCCCTCCCCGGCCAAAAAACAAACAAACAAAAAAAAAACTGCAAAAAATAATAATAATGATGAAGATAGAAAAAGCTGTTTTAAAATTTTAATCTAGCCTTCCAAAATTTAACTCCCAAATTCCCACTGAGTTTGAATTCATGAGGTTTAATGTATTCTAGTGCACTTCAGTGTTTTTTTCTGTTTTTCACTAAGGCTCTTTTTTTTTTTTTTTTCCTGAAACCACTCCCTGCTCTGTATTCAGTGACATGGAAAATGCTTGAATAGCCAGCGGCCTCTGAGTGCCTCATCCTCTGGAACTCCTGCATTATTTTAACAGTGACATGACCCCTGTGAACAATCTTAGCATGTATAACATAAAGGGGTGAGGGAACTAACCAATGGCAAGGAAGGCTAAGGGAGGGTGCATTAATATACTTTGCTTTTGCTGCATTTGTTGAAATTAGAGGCATTTCCAGACAAATCTAAATGGTAGAGCGTTCTCTGAGCAGCCAGTAGAAAGGTCTGTGTGGAGGAGGAGAAGAGAAGAGCTCTGGGCAAAGCTGAGCTTTATAAAACAGAGATAGCTGAGAGAATACTACTTGTCACACAACTATTCCCAGGACAGCCCTCAAAGTGAGTATGTCAAATGTTCATTAAATTTGGAACAGTTAAGAAAAAAAATCCAAAGAACTTACTTTCTAGACAACAGTAGAAGGTGGGTGGAATTCAAATATATCTTCTTAAGATTCCCCTTTAAATATAGACCTCAAGTAACTTAGCTTAGAAACAATTGTGTAGTATGGGTAACTTGGTTTGAAGAAAAAAATGTAATGCTTTGGTAGATTTAGAAAATATGCTAGAAAAGTGTAGGGAATTTTTAAAATCAAGTGTATCTTTTGGAGAAAATATCCCCCACTATTTTGACTTCCCCTTTTCCTGGGCTTTAATGTTTTGCTGAAAAAGCAGCTCAAAATTTCGGTTTCTCTGTGAAGCCCTTCCTGACTTACCCCTATTATCTTTTTCCCAGGAAGTTTGTTGCTGGGTCCTCTGTGCTGTCCCATGAACAGCACTCTGTCTGTGCCTTTTTGATAGAACTTACTTTACCACTTTGAAATTTTCAGTGTATATCCCAGCTTCCCTCTCCCAAAATCCATTAAGTTCGTGGGCTTTGTTTTGATGTCTCTGACCATACTACATCAACTCGTTCCTTGGCTTTGCCTCTTTGCCCACCTGGTAATGTTAATGTTCCCTTGAGTTCTGGTCCTGGCAGGCTTCTCATTCTATTTACTTAATCATCTTGAGCAACATCACCCATATTCATGCAGACGATTGAAGTACATTCCTAACCATCTGGATTTCTCCTTTAAACTCCAGACCCATAAAACCAATTACCTTATTAATAAACTAGGGTACATCATTGGTCTCCCAAATACAGTGAATCCAAACCTTACTATCTTTTCCCTTTTATGTACCTTTGAGTCTACTTACAGTAAGTCCTGTTATCATTACTTCTATTATATAAGCCAAACTTGTGAGTCATTCTGACCATCTCCTTTTCATTCACCCAAATCAGGTAAATGATTCTCTTTCCCTATGAGAAAGCTCAAACAGTTCTGTGTGATTTATAAGTCCATGCAAGGGTAGTAAATGTTTACAACTGGCTTTTGTTGGGTAGGGGGAAGCCCTGATTTGTAACATTTGCCAGTATTCATGACATAAATTCTGTCTTGGCTGGATTCAAACTACCACCATAATGTCTCTGAATGTAAAGCTGGGAAGAAAGTTCCAGAAGCCCTTAATTTGTATCTTTCTAAACCTGCAGCTCCCCTAAAAGGTCCTGGTTCTCTCTCTTTCACAGAGTTGTCTCTCCTAGGCCTTCAACTACTGACCACTAAGTTTTTTCTCAGGCAAACCACCCACATATCTCCTAAGTAATTAAATTTTCATTAGCCTAAGCCCCTACAAGTACTATTTGAGGAGTCATTTCCTGCATAGCTTCTAA